CAGAATTCGTACAGCTTGCCGCGGCTGGAGAAGATGACGAGAGCGACATCGACATCGCAGAGGACGGAGAGTTCTCGAGCCTTCTTGATCAATCCGCTTCGCCTTTTTGAAAAGGTTACTTGACGACTGCTCTTGTTCTCGATTCGCCTCAGTTGCACCTTCTTTCGGCCCATTTCGACTCAATTCACCCCTAATTCTGAATCAAAACGACCTAGAAAGAGAAATTAGGTTTTCTGTTAGGATTGGTTTTAAAAGTGCATAGCACCAACGGGTTTTGTAAGACGTACAATTTAAAATCGGAAGCCAAAACGTCTACTTCTTAACACGTGATTGTAATAAATGGTTTGATGTATTGTTAGTTTTTTTTTTTTTTTTTTTTCGTCTCAATCTTGAATTTAATTAATATCTGCCACCATTCAATATGTATTCCACCAATCCACCAAGCATTAATTGAACTTGTTTACAAAGCTTTTATTTGGACAAAAGTTGAAAGTATGATACAAAGGGAATAGCATATAATCTGTATTCTGGCGGACCACCATGTCGGTAATTGGTGATCCTTATGTCAATATCGACATATATTGTTCCTTTTAGTTTAATCCCATCAACTTACCTTTACTGTTTCTACAGATTAGAGCCTATAAAAATTGGCATTATATACAATCCAAACTACTTCCTTTAATCTTAAAATTTATATAACATCATTCAAAGAAAAATGAAAAAAAAAAAAAAAAAAAATACTACAACCAAAATTAAATTGTAACCCTTGTATGTTTACCTGCTCGCAGGAATGACCGTAGAACAGACGGGCACAGAAACAATTTGCTTGGATCGAGGAATGGGAGTTCCTCCTATTGGAACAGGAGTTCCTCACGGCGGAAAGGGCGTTCCAGGCCGGGGAGCTACAATAATAATCCATAAACCAAATTCGCATATTTGTTGCAGCAAATTGAAAGTGTGGTGGATGACAGCTAACAAGAGGCTATCATGTCAGCCCCACCACTTACCAACAAGTTGATGAAACGATATATAGCAATAACTGTTGGCTGATGCTACTGCCTATCCCTTTCTTCTCACTTCTCCTTGCCACAAATAGAAACAAGAGAAATGAGCTCTACCCGAGTCTATGGAGAAGGTCGGTAACCTTTTCTAGCTTTTCAATGGTCTCTCGTTATCTCATATCGTGCCACATGGTTACAAGCAGTACGGTCTGAACTTTTTAAACTTTGACTAAAAGAGAAACACAGTAACGGTTACTGAATAAAGCAATATTTGGAATTACTTCACCACCGCCTGCAACCACGCCAGCCTGGGATGTGTGTCTGATGTTTAAGGACCACTTAATTTGTGAGTCGTGACTTGTGGACACGAGACAGTCCCCTACACTGGGGCGGTGGGGCCTCCATAATTGCCAGACAAATTTGTGCTCGCTCGGCTGTCAGTCACCAGTCACCAGCGTCATTATTTTGTTTCTGATTCTGCTGCATTTTTTTTTTGGTCAATTTTTGCATTATCTAAATATATCTTTAATTTGACGAGCCCTTGAAAATTAAATTTACTAATTTAGAGAAATTGACATTACAGTATAATATCAAATTAACAATTCATAAGAAAACGTGAAAGACATATATTCTATGAATTCCAAGTTCTAACAAATTAAACTGCCTCTTTTATTGAGTTTTTTTTTTTTTTTTAAAGGTTTATAAATCAGATTAAAATTATCTAGAGAAATTAATAATTCTAAGCCATCCCTAGGGATGGAACCACACTATAATATACAATATACGAGTTCAATTGAACCCACTCAAATTAATTTAAAAAAAAAAAGTTGTTTACAGGATTTATAATTTTGAATTCACTTAAATTCATATTGAACCTCTTCAAGCTTTGGAAAAAAAAAAAAAAAAAACTTTATATTTTATAAAATTTAAAATTTTGACTCTACAAGATTTTATTATAAATTTATCAACTTAAATGTTTTAAATCTGCTCACTAAAAATCTTAACTACGTCCCTGATTACACCACATGCGTGTATTACAAGGAATAAAAAAAGAATAATCTTCCAAAATTAGTGGAGTAATGAAGATGTGGTGGTTTGGTAAATATGAAGATCTTTTTGTTAAGGGTAATCAAAATATATATTTATTTTTATTATGTAAAAGAATATTTTAATTTGAATCAAAAAGTTTCATAAGTAAATATCATTATTATGGTACTCTATAAATCTTATTTTTACATAATATAAATTTTACAATTTATTCGGTATATATATTTCGTTAAGAGGTCAATTGAACCCACTCAAAGTTTTAAAAAAATAAAAATAAAAAATTTATATTTTACAGTATTTATAAGTTTAACCCCACTTAAATTCATACTGAACCCACTCAAACTTTAAAAAAAAATAAAAACATGCTTTATATTTTATAATATTTACAATTTTAACACAACTTAAATTCATACTGATCCCACCAAATTTTATTGTAAATTTATTATTTTAAATATTTTGAGCTCACTCACTAAAAATCTTAACTACGTCCCTGCTCTCTCGTGTTAAAGTTGCAACAGCATGAATATTTAATGTCTTGAATGTTTAAAAAACATTAAAATGATTTTTTATCATTTCGTTATTCAATAAAGAGTAAATGACTTTTTCCCACCCCATTAATGTCTTAATAATTTTTTTACCTATAAACTTTTAAAATACCATTTTACTACCCAATTTATATTCCGTCTCTGATTTCGGCATCATTGCGATCTACCACCACCACCATTCTATTTCTTAATTATCACTTACCAAAACCCCTCAAACCTTACTCATGTCGACCCTAATAATTGTCGACAATCGAGCGATTAGGGTTTATGCAGCTGCCTCTCTCAAGTCCAATTCTGATCAATCTCAAGCACCAAAATCTAACCCTCCACCACCAAAAGACTCATCAGCCTCCCTCTTCAAAAGCTTCAACAGCTTGAATCGAGTTTACTCTTTGTTCACTGTCGGAATATAAATTTGAACCATAAAGTAGTATTTTAAAAGTTCATAGATAAAAAAGTGTAATTAAATTATTATTTGGGTGGAAGAAAGTCCTTTTAACTCTTTAATAAAATCCCAAGTGGCCAATTGCTCAATCATGACAAACCAATATTGTGGAGGTCCAAGACTGTGGGTACCCAAATTAAAAAGTTTAGGGACAAAATGCAACACTCAAGAAGTTGGATACGTGGAAATCTATTTTGACAAGCTAAATAAAGTAACCTCCTTATCTCGCTGACCTTTTAAGGATTTGGTGGGGTCAAAAGCATAGAGGAATCAAAGACGAGGACTTGGACCAAAGAGCTTGTTTCGTGATGTAATCATTTTATTACTTTATTGTATATGAGCCCATGGAAGTTTTATTGGGCCTGTAAGACGTAAGAAAAATAGGAAGAGAGATAAGAACAGAATAAGTTGGCCTGGAATGAAAAAGCCCAAATCTTAGGTTTTTATATTACTGTACAACATTTTTATTACTTTGTACCTGACATATAATTTAATGTGTTATATTATCAATTAAAATCAATAATCATTTAGCATAAAAATTTATTATGTGGTATGCATGTAACTAGAAAAAGTAAATAAACAAGGCAGGAGCCGAAGGTTGCCGCTCCGGACTGGCGAGTTCCAATTCAGAGGGATACCAGAGGATGTATGAGTAAATAAATGGTTTGGGATTTGAAGAGGCATAAAGTTTCAATCCTTATTTAAAACAATAATACTAACCTCACTAACTCCTCTCACTAATCCCATGTGGGAGTTTATGATTAGCTTGATTAAGTGGGATCCATTATTGGACAGGCGAGACCCATGTGAACTGATGAATTGTAAACTGACATGTGGTATTAGTAAGAGAAAGTTAGTGAGAAGTATTAGTGAGTGTAGTATTACTCTATTTAAAATGGTGATCACATAAAGCGAGTAATTGAAAGTGAAACCGGCTAAAGATAAAAAAAATATAACCAATTTAAAATTATTATCATTTATCTACTTATATATTGTTTAATTCAGCAAATCATCTTATTTGCAATGTTTTGAATCTGGACCGATACATTAGCATGTCCAACATGTTCGAAATCCAACAAAAACACCCCTGTAAAATGACACATCAATCTCTACAAGTTTAAAATTTAATAAACACACCCTTGTGATCTGGGCAGGAAACCACGAAACAACTAAGTGGTGGTGACGATGATCAGCGGCTAATCGAAGTTCAGGATGATGGGGGATTTTGATGTGGAGATGAAGGTGATGTTGATGGTGGTGTCAGGTAGGATGGTTGGCGTCGAAAGCTGTCGGAATCAAGGAGGAAGACAATCGGTTTTTGCGAAACAGACAAGTGGTGATGACGATGATCGATGGCCAATCAGACTGATGGTGGTGTTAGGTGGGATGGTAGGCACTGGAAGCTGCTAGAATCAGGAAGGAAGTTGGTGAAAATTGGGCTGTGGTGACCCAGTTTTGCTATTGGGCTGATCGGACTGACGGTTCATTACTATTACGCCGATCCAGTCTGATCCACAAGTTAAAACCAGGTTTTGAGCGTTTACAGACTGAAAAGGGGCCAGTCGAATTGACCGATCCAGTCCAAGTTTCAAATCGCTATTTATTTGTATTTGGTTTTCTTTCGAAAATAAGGATTACACCTGAATATGATATTTATAAGTAAAAACACTTAAAAACCCATCCTTATATAAACTTCAACCTGTCAAACACTAAACCATAACTCAATATAAAAGAAACACATAATATAAGTTTGGCAATTTTTTTTTCCTTGTTGATAGTCTGTTTCCAATTTTTTATGTTGAATAGTTTTCAATCTAGAAATAGCATTTGCTGGCCGAATGCATGCAAAAGCCCATGTAGACAGCTAAAGGCTTAATGATATGCAAAATTAATCAAATTGATAATCAAATCTTGAATCTGTCAAAACACACACCAGACATATATTAATATTACTTCCACTATCTTCTGGTTACGTCCGTCCGTAGTCCAGAGTGTACTTTTAATATAAATGCATAGTTTTGATTCTCCAAATAAACTACTTACAAAGAGATAAATCTTCACACTTAATTATGAGATATGGATTGCATGCATTCCATGGATGACATACATGCTCTCTTCTTATCATGGCAACCATCCTGGCATGTAGTTATTCACACTGGGGCCTGCACTCACCGCTGTTATTGCTTCATGTTGATATGATCTGCAATGGCCAATGTATTCATATAAGAACAAAATACATATATGAACTCAAATTATTCAAACGACCTCTTCTCAAGTTTAAGTATCAACTATGAGCTAGCAGCCTCCAAGTTTCTCTCATATTTCTTGTTTGCACTGTGTTGAAGATACTTTATTTAAGGACTGGCATACTGCATGTGATATTTTCAAGAAAGTATGCGATCTTTTTTCCAAATATTCTCTTCTGTGCTTGTTCACAGGGTAAACATTTGTGCAGCAACTTGAAACTTAAAGAGATTATAGCAGGTTTATTAATATTTACCCGATTTGCAATGTGGGCTCGCACTCCAGGGGATGGAAGAAGGTATCCCCATGAGGTTGAACGGGTTGGCGGCCATATCCCATTTCTTCTGCACTTGGATTCAACTGGAGCACTGAGCTTACTTGGTATCCTTCCATCAACTGCAAAGTAACATTTAACATGTCATGGATCATCTTTCTTTATTTGTTTGGTAAACACCCTGACCAGGTATTTTGACACAAGCGTTTTGTCAGTTAATTATATATATAATGTAGGTTAATATTGGTTCCTCCGCTGACATGCATAAAATGTTAGATTTGCCTGCTGGGAACATGGCAAGAGGAACAATACCATTTCCAAAGTGAAACCCGAGATTTTAGACGCAAACTGCACTAAATAGCGCACATGAAAAATAATCCATTTATAGGTGAAAAGATAACGTACCCTTTGTTTCAGGGTTTTATTTGTTTCGCTGAGCACCTGTTCCTGCGTTTATAAAAATTGAGAATCGGTGAGTTTAAAGAAAGTCAATAATAATCAAGGAAGGTCCAGATTTCCCCATATTACCTTATGTTGTAGATCCATGAGCTGATCCAGCATGTATTGAGTCTGTAAATAAGTATAAGATGAAAGTGGTTTAGCTACGGATTTCTTAAAATTAGTACCGCTTACATAATAGTTGTTGTGTTTCATCTCCATCTACCTTACAGACAATTCCTTGATGAAGATGGCATTCAAATTCTGATACAAAACAATAAACATATCCAAAATTTGCTTTCTTTTTACATAATCCAAGTAATCTAACAACAGATTTATGTTCAAAAATTGAATCTTCGAAGCCAATAATATTTAAGCAAGTATTATTGACCAATTTCATTAATAGACATGGCAATATCCACAGAAGAACTCATGTACTGTTTCAACTTTCAAAATATAAGTATGCATCTAACGAAACATATAGTATGTATGCAATCTCTCTCCTTGTGGTCGGATGACAAGTCTTTAATTATTGGGGTTAGTTATATACAAAGGTCTTGTATTTGAGTCAAAAGAGGGGCAATTATTGAGTTTACTAAAAAAAAAAAAGTACGTATGCACCGAGCGCTGCTAAATTTACAATCTAACCCAAAAAAAAAAAAAAATAATCAGCATGAAGATAGGTGAAGTGTTGAAATAAAGTACCCGCGTTGATCTGATCTGTTTCAAAGACATGTCAAGCTGCCTTTCAAGCGACTCAAGCTCTTTGCTGCTTAAAGGGCCAAGTTCTTCTCCAAGGAGGTTCCTATATAAGCATAATAATCCGAATTAAGTCGATTATACACTTTGAAGGTTCTCATTTCTACTTAACCTTTGTGTTTTTTTAATACTTAAATTGATTTTGTCTATATGAAGCATTAAGTATATATGTATCGAACTGGCTCACCTTTGGGATCTCTGCAAGGCTTCATAACGTGCTTTGAGCTTCAGATATTCCTGCTGGCTACTTATCTCCTACAACCACAGGAGTAAAATTCATTTACACCATGAAACTCACACTGAAATACACTATATACTGAATAATGTAGAACCCTAGGACTGAAAGGCGATATCTTAGCACAGGTATGGAAAAGTAGTAAAAGCTCACTCAAAACACAATGTCACATAATCAGATCCTTCTATAAAGAATGATTCAAATCAAACACACATCCGAAATTACATCATTTTTTTAAATAAAATACTAATGTTATTTACATAAACTATTTATATAACCACTTTTATAAAAAAAAAATGATGTGACAGTAAAGTATAGTATATATAATAATGCCAATAAAGAAGACAATCAATTTATTCTGATTTGTTCTCAATATAAGAATTACTCTAACATTCAAGGTAGAGAAGATTTTGTTGAGTTTCAGAAATTAGTAGAAATAAAATAGTAGTGATGACAACTCACTCTTTCTCTTCTCTCTCTCAATATTTTCTCACGTTAGGTTTTTCACAATTACAATATGCATATAATAGTAAACTTAACCCTATTTAGGTTAACCCGAGCGATATCCCGAATGAGTTGGCATAAATTGATAATCTGTCAATACTATGCAAAGTATGAACCATATCCAACAATCTTCTCAGTCATCAAAAATTTCATTTTTCTATAATCAATTATCATAGCCACGGAACGGAATCAAGAAAAGTGTATGAAAAACATAAAGTATGGATCTTATAATTAACTTGAGAACACTGAATTCTCAATGTTGGAATTGAGAAAACCCAACTACAAAACTACAGCAAATTTTCATAAATTTTTTACAAGAAGTTTCTAACTACTATATATCTAGTTAAAACTTACTAACTTTCTTATAAACATCGGTAATATATTTGTAATGTAATTATATACGTGTATATCCAGTGCACTGCTTTTAATTAAGTACTCATATTTTGGCAGAGAAAGAAAACAAGGGCATAAGCTCTGTATGAAAGGGCAATTTGCGAAAACATTACCAGGGCCTCTCTTGCGGACACATTTGGTTCTGGTGCTCCATAGTTACACTTTTGGTACCTCTCAAGTGTTTTGAGCATGCTGAATTTTCAGGCAAAATTATACATGAAGAGGTATATTAGCCATCCATAAGTATGAATTATTACATGCATATATATTTAATGAAGGACGAATGATATCCTCCCAAAAAAAAAAAAAACATCACTAATTTTTGCATATATATATGAGAGAGCCGCGTGAAGTATTAAATTTTTCAATCACAGTGAAGGGGAAAGCATGAAAGAGATCTAGGAGAGAACTGAAAAGACCTTAATTAAGAAAGAACAAGAAAGAAGGACATCAGGAAATAGATATGCAAAAGCAATTGAAAACCCCAATATCTCATCTAATAAAATAAAGCAACAACCAAGATATGGACTAATATTGCCAGAAAATATTACTTCTAATTAAGTTTGTAAATTTATTATCACAACTTGATCTTCATTTTAAATCCAATTATATTTTATTTTTCACAAATTAAGATCAAAGAAGCAGGGATTTTGGTGCCTATACTGTGCGAAATCACCTACTAAATTAGGGTTTGGAAAATGGAAATATATACGATGCCCTAATTTTATTATGGGGCTAGATTTAAAGGTAATGAAAAAAAAAAAATCTTTACCACAAAACAAATCTGTAATTAACATACATCTCGTCATATTTCAGATCTGATTCAACTGAGAGTGTGTGAGATAGAAAAGACTAATCTTGGAATGGAAAGCCTAAACTGAGAAGTAACTGCTGGCTTTGAGACAAAACCCTAAAGTTTTGTCTCCATCAATTTATGTCTTTTGATTTAAAAAGCATTGGGAAGAAGAGGGTTTTGAACCATTGGAAATAAGGGAAAACCTCCGTAAGAGTGTAAAGGAATAAGCTTTCAACTTCATCTCTGATGGCTTTCATGAGCATCCTCACGAAGTCTTAAGAAGAAATTGAAAAACCATATAGAGATGAAGTTGAAGCAAAATCTTCAATCACATATTGAAATGAGAGAGAGAAAAGTTACATAACATGAAAAGCTTCATGAAATCTAATTAAACAAAGAAAATCAATTAATAACTTCTCCTCAAATGAAAAATTGACAATGATCGCGAAGTCATGAACTAACAAAAAAAAAAAAAAAAAAAAGAAAAGAAAAGAAAAAGAAACAGAAAACGAAGAAGAAAAGATCTAATATATACATCAATGAAACCTCTTTAGGTTTACAGAGAAAATGAGAAAATGGGAGAAGAAAGAAAGAGAAAAAAGAACAAAAATAGAGGTGGATGAGACTGCAGGAAATGAAGAATCTCTATGTTGAGCTTCTTGAAATATTTAAGAAGTAAACTTAGAAAAAAAAAAGTTTGAATTCCTAAGAAAACTAGAAAATCATCAGATCAGATAATACAAGAAAAAAAAAACAAAAACGGAAAATTCAGAACTTGAACAAAAATGGAAAACATAAAGAAAAGGAGTAAGCTTGGAGAAGATTTTGGGAAACGAAAAACAAGACACCAAATTAGTGTCAATATAACAGTGTCAATAAAAATATTAATTATATCTTCTTTTTATGGATTTCCAGTTGCAGATCTAACAACACTACGAACACACAAACACTCAACCTGCTAAAAACGCCGAGACATTCACCAAAACGGCAAAAAACTCAAAACTAAAGAAACAACTTTCTCTCTTTTCAATTTTCAGGATCAACCTCACCCTATCACTGGAAACAGCAAAAAAAAAAGAAAAAAATCCAACCATTACAAGCAGATTTCAAAGCAAGAATTAAAGAAAGAGTGAATCTCCTTCATTAGATAGCTAAGAGAGAGAAATATCACATAGAGAGACATAGCAGGAAAAGAAAGAGAAAATTCAAAGAAAATTCAAAATTTTTTTTTTTTTATGGGTTTAAAAGTTTAGTTTGTTTTGGTGATATACCTTGCACTACTGCAAAATTCGTACAATTTTCCTCTATTAGAGAAGATGATGAGAGCAACCTCAGCATCACAAAGAACTGAAAGCTCATAAGCTTTCTTCAAAAGTCCATTCCTTCTCTTTGCAAAGGTCACTTGCCTGTTGATCTTGTTCTCTATTCTCTTCAGCTCAACCCTACCTCTTCCCATTTTTCTTTAACTCACAAAAACAATCAAACCTTGCAAAAACAAAAAGCTTCAGTACTACTCATACAAACCCTTGTACTTTTTCTTTATATACTCTCATAAAATCTTATACTGTACATATATATATATATATATTAATTTTTGAGGTATGTCCGTATGGTGTCTTCATTAAAATCTAGTCTACCTCTCCATTCCTTTTCTTAATACGCAATAGTTAACCAAACGAAACGAATTGTATGGATTCTTACGTGGTTTTGTTTTTCATTTTTTTATCGTTTGATGTTGATCAGACGGTGGAGATCAAACTAAACTTTACAGAAAGTAATAGTTAGAAACCTCTAAACGGAGGCGAGAACATTAATGAAAAGGACCAACAGAAGGCCACGTGTCAAGTGGAGAACTGAACGATATCTGATAATCCACCTGACCATTTCTTATTTCTTCGGGTTCGGGCAATCATGTGACCTAACCTTAACAAGCTGAACCCTTTTGTAGTTCATACGGTACTTTCATTTTACAGGTTTACCCCTGGGAAGGTGTTCGCCGATTGGACCCGGTTATTACAGTAAACTACTTCTTCTTACGCGGCTATGTTAAAAGGGGAAATGGAGTTATTTTAATATATCCATTTATGCAGAGGTTTTGATAAATATATAATATGCCATTTATGTGTTGATTAATTGTTTGTTCAAAGATGGGATTAGGTTTATATAAATGTAATTCTAGATTTTCTTTTCATAATTTAAAAGATGCACTTGAGAGAATATTGTTTCGTGGAGGTTAGTTTGATTTCCAGAAAAAAAAAAAACATTTAACAAAGCACTTGATAAAGAAAAAGCTTCTTCTATAAGTGTTTTTTCTGATCTAGAAAGTGTTTTATACTTTCTTTCATCTGAAATGCATTTTTGTTTATTTAAGTTAAATATGAGCATGGACCAGAAAAAGAAAGAAAAGAGAAACGATTTTAGTTCCATAAATACGACAACTTTTAGTAAAATTCATTCCATCTATAATCTAATTACAGGATTTGATCACGAAACCACCCCAAATAACTGCTACAAAATGTTTGTTTAGATGGTCATTCTCATCTAACAATACAGAGACCAGACAATAAGACATGTATGTATGATTAGTACAAGATCGTTCTGTCAGCTTATCCTAATTTGCCTTGTTATGTATAAAATATTGTACTTACGTCTTATGTAGTTTGATTGATGTTTAAGGATTTGAGCCTAATAAAGCTAACGTGATAGATTTCTTTCTGTGCATTTACCCAAAAGGAATTAATAAAAAGTTAGTTGTAACAGCGCAATCAGGTCTGAAAATAATTACTAAACCGCAGATGCCAAACTTATTATAGATTAAGATTTGGCGAGCTAATTATTTCTGGATGATCGAGTGATTCGATAGAGACTCTTGAATGTATCATTCAAGAGGTTCTGAGTTCGAGTCCCCTATCGGTTCCTATTAGAGATAGTCACTGGAGTTTTTATCCGGCCAATAGTTTCAAGGTCTTGAAAAATTAGTTGAAGTACACGTAAACTAATCCGGACACCTCTAATCATTTAAAAAAAAAAAAGGATTTGGCGAGCTGATCTATATTATAAGATATGGAGGTACCATCTCGGTTAATAACTTGCATAGACCGCTCAGATTAAATGTCATGAAGTAGACTAACGAAAAATAATTTATTTATTGATTCGCACTTCAATTGATTTGTTCCAAAAGATAAGGAAAAGTTTCAGCAACCTTTCAGAATATGGAATTTCCTGAAGTGTTCAGAATTTTAACGACCATCGAGTATTTCATTTAATTTTAAAATGCATTTTAGAACTTGGAGAAGGCCAGATTACTTGCATGTATAGCTCCTATTTACCAGATCAGAGGGGTCAGAGATCTTGAAGAATACGGAACAAACCTTTTGCAGTCTCAGGATAAGGAAAACCTGATGAAGAGAACATGAAATTTCGAACTGATGGTGCGTTGAATAAAAATATTTTGTGCTTTTAAACACTATTCGCTAATTCGTGTTGTGCTTCATTGATTCAATTCAATTAGCTTCATGCATGGTTCACGTACGTTACTAGTTGGGTATGGCTTGAGATAAAGATTTATAACCCTATGTTATTATATATGAAAAAATTCGAATTCTCTCCTTATCTTTCATTTCATACGATCAACTTTCTGAATAAAAACCATAGTTTCATGGAAATTAAAGAGGTTTTCTCTGTACGCTGCTACGAAAGAATTTGCATCAATGATGTATAGTTTAATTTATTTAGGAAGTGAAACTTGCTTATAATAGGCCAGGCCAGTAAAATAAACTAAATTCCAACTTGGATCCTTCGTCTATCAGTACAGGAATTCGTTTATTATCTGGAATATCTAAGAAATGCATAATATTTTATCATTAATTATAATGTGTCCTTGTTATGCAATCAAATTAACTGCGATTGAGACTAGACAATATCATTAATTTGAACTACCATTGGGTAGTCGAGTGATCAACTAAAAATCTTGAATATATTATTTAAGACATCCTCAGTTTGATTAATCTCGACTGATAATAGGGGTGATTATTTGAGTTTTCACTTAATTGGTAGTTTTAGAGTCTTGAAAAATTAATTTAAATATGCATAAGCTGGTCCGAACACCCTCGATCATAAAAAAAAAAAAAAAAACAAAAAAAAAATATCATCAATTTGCAGTTTTCTAGCTGCATTGATTCAAGACTCGGTACTAGTCAAATGTGAGGAAGTAATTATCATGTATCAAGCAAAAAATATATATATTTACAAGTAAATTAATATTAATTTATCATTTACTCTTCCTGTCGTATGATAGATTGATGTTAATTGACTTAGAATTTTCTGCTTTAGAAATTAGAAAGGCATATGCTTTTAATATACAATTAAAGCACGATTAGGCCTGAGATAATTATGCTCTTTTTAAGTAAAGATTAGAGCCATTAGCAGAAAAGTCAATGTTTTGGCATGTGGTAGAAGTTAACACCGTTTCTTCATCTAGTATGAAGCAATTTCATGTACAACGAAAAAATTGTAATTGTCACCTCATAAGGGGAAGGTTAAACTTTAAAGTAAAGGCTGAAACCTAGTTGCAGAAAGCATAGCAATAGTCAATAGAATTTCAAAAGATCCGTGTTAGTTACTAATTAAAATTACTATAGAAGAACAAGATTTAAAGTTTGTTCAAATGATACGGAATCAAAGAGTGTATTTCTACTGAGACGTGTCCATAAATCTAGAGGTTAAGACATTGGTGGATATATCAGATCAGAGACCTGAGTTATATATATAACAAAACATTATATATATAGTATAAGGACACTCTTATCATCTAAAAGCGTCTTTTTAAGACAAAATCGTATGGATATTAGGACTCAAAACGGACAATACCTTACATAAATTTGATGAATTCTATATGAATTCTAATGGTGAATGGAAAACTATGAAGGGGAAACCAAGTTATTAATTATATAGAGCGGTTGAAAGCACATCAAAGTTCATTGAGTGACAATAAAGAGTAATGTTACAGTCACCAAAGTAGTGCACTGAATGACGTAGCAAAATCCTGACCGTTGATTAATTTTAACTTAATAGTAATCGACGGTCAAGATTTTGTTACGTTATTCGGTGCATGAATTCGGTGTATAACCTTCGGTGACTGTATCATTTCCGGACAATAAAACCACGTGGGTTGCTCTCAAAACCTAAATTAAGCACTGTACGTATTGTGGTCCAATGCTACAGAAGGATCTTAATTACGCATATTATTATGCATCAATGGAGGAAACCCAATATCACCAGGAAGGCTCAAGTAATTTGGAAATGATATGAGCTCAGCTCAGAGAGCGTCTACAGAAAGTTTGAGCTTCATCTTCATTCAATGTCAGTGCTAATTATACTACCTAGATGCTGGTTTATAGTATTGTAATAGGTTTAATGATCTATGCTATACGGCAATCTTGTGGATACTAATTTTTTTTTTTTTTTTTAAATTGTTGGTGTTGAGTCAGTTTGTACGTATCTCAACTAATCTCTCATAACTCTAGAACTACCGATCGGATAAGAGCTCTAATAATCACTCTTATTAGAGGTTGAAATGAATCAAATTGGGATATTTTAAGTAATTCTCATAAGAGTTTTAGTTGACGACAACACAATGGTGGCTTTGGGATACTATTTTTGCGTTAGAATAGATGAATTTTGACACATTTTTTGGTTTTTCTGACCCAAGTTGTGCTTTGAAAAAACTCATTATTCTTGTGATGCTGAGTCATCATCTTTACCCGGTTAGAAACATAAATATAAATTTTAAAGGGAGACATTATTAATAATATTAATAACCAATGATGCAATTTTTTTTTATATATAATTTGTTGTATGAATGAAATGGTATACTGTTATTATACTATAGACTCTCTCAAAAAAATAAAAATAAAAAAAAGTTAAAATTAATTGAGGGGGAGAATTTCCAAAACTACCCCTCACTTTTTGCTAATCACAACTCAGGACCGTTTTATGGGAAATAGTCAAAAACCAGCCCTCAACCTTAACGCCATCCGATTCTATTAACTTGCAAGTTGAAATTTACGAAAAATTATTGTTTTGTCCTCACTTTCATTATATTTGAAATTGTTTTCCTTTTTTTTCAAGATTCAAACCCAACACTTCAAGTATTTAATTCAAAACTCTAACCAAAGTATATGTTAATAATATTTTATATAATTTATTATACGAGCATAAAAAAAATTAAAAATGAAATAAAAATATCTTTCACACATATAATTCAATTAGACTAAAGTATTGAACTAATGATGAATCAAATTTGAGTTCTATTAGGAGGATAATCTTATTATCTTATTTAATGCTAGTGAGGGCAAAATAGAATTTTTATAAAAAAATGTTAACTTGCAAGTTAACGAAATTGGATGGCGTAGGGCTTAAGGGTGGTTTTTGACATTAGCAAAAAGTGAAGGGTAGTTTTTGAAATTCT